CAACCGTTAGTTGGCATGGCCCGGGAGCAAGCCCACTGAAATCACGTGTCCTCTACCTGCCCCTGTCCTTTGGTGTTCCCTCACCAAGCGAAGTATCGCATGCTGTGGGCTCAGCCCCACTGTACAGTGAGGAAGAGCTAACAGAGGGCGGTCAGGAACGGGGGGAGACATCCGCCTCTTCAGCAGCCAGGCGAAGAAGTACTGGCGAGGAGAGTGGCTCGGTAGCCGGTCTAGAGACAGGTCTGTCTCCTGACCCACACGCAGCCGAGGGGGCTAGTAGTGAGGCGGAGACCCTAATTGATGATGATGAGGCTGATCGCACTTGGCAGCCTCGTCGTCATCAGGCTATTGCTTCCGCATCATCAGGAGAAGAGGGTGCCAGCTTGGCAGCGAGCAAAACAGTCGGTGGGTTGCCCAGGAGGCAGCAGGGTCGCAGCAGTGTCAGTGGAGGCAAACGGCCACGGAGTAGAGCACCAGCTCCACTGCAGCCTACCACCACGGCCAGTAGTGGTGCCGGTGTGCACGGAGGAAGTAGCAGTCAGCCAGTGAGGAGTAGCGGGGGCAAAGTTTCCTACTCGGCGGTGTGGCAATTTTTCGTCAAGCCGCCCGAGGAAGTAAACGTAGCCGTATGTCGACTATGTGGCCAGAAAGTCAAGCGTGGCCAGGGGGCCCATGTTGGGACTACAGCGTTGCGTCAGCATATGCAGCGTCGCCATTCGGTGGCCTGGGAAAACCGTGATAAAGATACGGCGGTTCTGCCTGCCCCAGCCCCCGCTCCATCACCCGCTCCGTTACTTGCTCCGTCACCCGACGTCAATCGCCCTCTATCAGCCAGTCAAGGCTCCAACACCTCTGCTGAGGGGAGTTGTCGCTCGTTGGCATCTTCCGCTCGTTCAGATGCTCCTTCTCCTGCTACTCCTCTTCACGGATTCCGTCAGCAGTCTTTCTTGGAATCCGTTTCCAAGAGACAACAGTTTGCGAGCACGCACCCGACGGTGCAGAAGCTGAACGTCCTCCTGTCTCCTGTCCAAGTTGCTGGTGCTGCAGTCCCTCCCTTTCCAAGTGGTGGACTCAGCACCTTTCCGAGAAATGATGGCTTGTGCCGCGCCGCGGTGGAGAGTGCCAAGCCGGCATTTCTTCGCCAAAAAGGCAGTGCCAGCCCTGCATTCACATGTAGAAGAGATGGTGGGCCAGTCTTTGAGCATGTCGGTCTCTGCCAAAGTGCACGGCAGCGCCGACGTGTGGAGCTGTAACTACGGTCAGGGACAGTACATGTCATTTACGGCCCACTGGGGTGAACGTGGTGCCGGCACAGCCGCACCAGCAACTTGGACAGGTCACGCCGCTTTTGCCTCCACGTTTGCACGTCCTTGGTCCAGCAAAGATGTCCGCCTCTACCACCTCTTCTTCCGCCGTGTCCTCAGCCGCCACCCCCGTGCCAAGTCCCATTACCCGACCGGCATATCACATGTGCAGGGCGCAACAACGGTGTCACGCTGTGCTGCACCTGGTATGCCTTGGCGAACGTAGTCACACAGGGGAGGAACTTCTGAGTGTAATGAACAGAGAAATCGACAGATGGCTGTCTCCGCGCAAACTGAAAATCGGAACCATGTTGACCGACAACGGAAAGAACATGGTGTCTGCTCTGCGTCAAGGAAGGTTGTGCCATGCGCCATGCATGGCTCACGTGTTCAATCTGGTTGTCAAGCGGTTCCTAAAATCCACCATCCCACTGCAAGACATCCTTAAAATGTCACGTAAACTTTGCATGCATTTCAGCCATTCCTACACCGCAAAGCACACCCTCCTTGAGCTGCAGCGGCAGAACGGAATTCCACAGCATCGCCTGATCTGCGACGTTGCAACAAGGTGGAATTCAACCCTACATATGTTAGACCGCCTTTACGAACAGCGAAAGGCCATCACCGATTTCCTGATGTTACAAGCGGATAAAGGTACTCCCCTGTGTAACTTAGATGTCAGCCATTGGCAGCTCATGCGTGACACCTGCCGCTTGCTCAGGCCCTTTGAGGAGGCCACGCTATTCGTGAGTCGGCAGGACTATGGGATGAACGACGTCATTCCTCTGTTGCACGTCCTGGAACAAATGCTGTTAACAATGGCTGGTCAGGGTGCGGTAGACGTGGCGCACAGATCTCAACGCCACATGACCCCTGTGGGGGCAGGACAGGAAGAAGAGGAGGAGGTAGAGGAGGACATTGGTGCTCAGGAATTATTGAGTGAAATGGGTGGTTTTTCCACTCAGCGGACAGGAGTGGAGGAGGAGCAGGAGCATCTGGTAGAGGAGGGAGGAGGAGACAGAGGACCCAGACGCACCGTGGCAGTATGCTGTGGAGATGGAGGCAGGGAGTCCCTCGCATTCCTTGGCACAAATGGCCCATAGCATGCTCGGTTGCTTGCGTAGCGACAGCCGAATAATAACCATCAGACAGAGGGATGACTTTTGGCTGTCCACCTTGTTGGACCCTCGCTACCGTTCAAAAATGGTGGCCTTTTTCACACCTGCTGAGAGGGAGGCCAAAATAACGTACTATAAAAACCACCTATGTAGTCAGTTGGTCTCTGCCTTTCTGCGCCAACGTCCATCCTCAGACACTGTGGGCCCTGTGCGCTCGCGTTCCGCTGCCATGGCAGCAGGGGAGGGGTGGGGTGGTAGGAGCAGTGGCAGCTCCACCAGCAGCGGCTGCCTCAGTCTGCAGTCGATGATGAGTAGCTTTCTTCACCAGCGCAGTGAGGAAACTACTAACCAGCCGCAGCAGCAGCAGCATCAGGTGGACCTGGAGCAGGACCTCAAACAACAGGCTTGGGCCTACTTGGACAGCACCCTGCCAACCGAGGTAGACAATCCCCTTGACTACTGGGCAACGAAACTTGACCTTTGGCCCCAACTAGCTGAATTTGCCCTTGAAAGGCTGTCATGCCCGGCCAGTAGCGTGGCATCGGAGCGCGTGTTTAGTGCGGCAGGAGGTATTGTAACTCCGCGGAGGACACGACTGTCCACCCAAAGTGTGGAGAGACTCACGTTTGTGAAAATGAATCAGGCGTGGATTAGTCTGGATTTCAAACCACCAGTTCCTGACACAACTGACTAAATCCGCCATGAATCATGCCCCAAACATGTTATTATTTTTAACATAGGCCTCTGTATGGCCTTCAATTTAAGCTGCTTACGCTTCGCCACTCTGCCATGGGCCCCTGTAATCCTGTACCGCCTCCTCTTGCTGCTGCCAGGTCCAGAGTGTGTCATGGGTCCCTGTACGGCCTCCCATTGCTGCTGTCTCCATCGCCACACTCTGCCATGTGCCACTTTCAGGTCCTCCACACACTGCTGGTGGGTTCCATTTTGTCATAGGGTGCTGGCAGATTACGGGCCTCCCATTGCTGCTGCCAGGCCCGTAATCTGCCATGGGCCCCCGTACCGACTCCTCATGCTGCTGCCAGGCCCGTAATCTGTCATGGGCCCCTGTACCGCCTCCTCATGCTGCTGCCAGGTCCAGAGTGTGTCATGGGTCCCTGTACGGCCTCCCATTGCTGCTGTCTCCATCGCCACACTCTGCCATGGGCCACTTTCAGGTCTCCTCACACTGCTGGTGGGTTCCATTTTGTCATAGGGTGCTGGCAGATTACGGGCCTCCCATTGCTGCTGCCAGGCCCGTAATCTGCCATGGGCCCCCGTACCGCCTCCTCATGCTGCTGCCAGGCCCGTAATCTGTGGGCCCCTGGGCTGCTGCCAGGTCCAGAGTGTCTCATGGGTCCCATGTACGCCTCCCATTGCTGCTGTCTCCCACGCCACACTCTGCCATGTGTGCCTTTCAGGTCTCCTCACACTGCTGGTGGGTTCCATTTTGTCATAGGGCTGCTGGCAGATTACGGCCATGGCCCCCCATTGCTGCTGCCAGGCCCGTAATCTGCCATGGGCCCCCGTGTACCGCCTCCTCATGCTGCTGCCAGGTCCAGAGTGTGTCATGGGTCCCTGTACGGCCTCCCATTGCTGCTGTCTCCATCGCCACACTCTGCCATGTGCCACTTTCAGGTCTCCTCACACTGCTGGTGGGTTCCATTTTGTCATAGGGTGCTGGCAGATTACGGGCCTCCCATTGCTGCTGCCAGGCCCGTAATCTGCCATGGGCCCCGTACCGACTCCTCATGCTGCTGCCAGGCCCGTAATCTGTCATGGGCCCCTGTACCGCCTCCTCCTCATGCTGCTGCCAGGTCCAGAGTGTGTCATGGGTCCCTGTACGGCCTCCCATTGCTGCAATTATTACTGCCCATTGCTGCTGCCACCCTAATCTGCCATGGGCCCCCTTTACCGACTCCTCATGCTGCTGCCAGGCCCCAATCTGGTCATGGGCCCCTGTACCGCCTCCTCATCCTGCTGCTGCCAGGTCCAGAGTGTGTCATGGGTCCCTGTACGGCCTCCCATTGCTGCTGTCTCCAGGCCCGTAATCTGCCATGGGCCCCCGTACCGACTCCTCATGCTGCTGCCAGGCCCGTAATCTGTCATGGGCCCCTGTACCGCCTCCTCATGCTGCTGCCAGGTCCAGAGTGTGTCATGGGTCCCTGTACGGCCTCCCATTGCTGCTGTCTCCATCGCCACACTCTGCCATGTGCCACTTTCAGGTCTCCTCACACTGCTGGTGGGTTCCATTTTGTCATAGGGTGCTGGCAGATTACGGGCCTCCCATTGCTGCTGCCAGGCCCGTAATCTGCCATGGGCCCCCGTACCGCCTCCTCATGCTGCTGCCAGGTCCAGAGTGTGTCATGGGTCCCTGTACGGCCTCCCATTGCTGCCCTGCTGTCTCCATCGCCACACTCTGCCATGTGCCACTTTCAGGTCTCCTCACACTGCTGGTGGGTTCCATTTTGTCATAGGGTGCTGGCAGATTACGGGCCTCCCATTGCTGCTGCCAGGCCCGTAATCTGCCATGGGCCCCCGTACCGACTCCTCATGCTGCTGCCAGGTCCGTAATCTGTCATGGGCCCCTGTACCGCCTCCTCATGCTGCTGCCAGGTCCCTCACACTGAGTGTGTCATGGGTCCCTGTACGGCCTCCCATTGCTGCTGCCAGGCCCGTAATCTGCCATGGGCCCCCGTACCGCCTCCTCATGCTGCTGCCAGGCCCGTAGTCTGTCATGGGCCCCTGTACGGCCTCCCATTGCTGCTGTCCCAGGCCCAGAGTGTGCCATGGGTCCCTTACGGCCCTCCATTGCTGCTGCCAGGCCCGTAATCTGCCATGGGCCCCCATACCGACTCTCCTCATGCTGCTGCCAGGCCGTAATCTGTCATGGGCCCCTGTACCGCCTCCTCATGCTGCTGCCAGGTCCAGAGTGTGTCATGGGTCCCTGTACGGCCTCCCATTGCTGCTGTCTCCATCGCCACACACTCCATGTGCCACTTGGTCTCCACTTTCAGGTCTCCATCACACTGCTGGTGTGGGTTCCATTTTGTGCATAGGGTGCTGGCAGATTACGGGCCTCCCATTGCTGCTGCCAGGCCCGTAATCTGCCATGGGCCCCTGTACCGCCTCCTCATGCTGCTGCCAGGTCCAGAGTGTGTCATCATGGTCCCTGTACGGCCTCCCATTGCTGCTGTCTCCATCGCCACACTCTGCCATGTGCCACTTTCAGGTCTCCTCACACTGCTGGTGGGTTCCATTTTGTCATAGGGTGCTGGCAGATTACGGGCCTCCCATTGCTGCTGCCAGGCCCGTAATCTGCCATGGGCCCCCGTACCGACTCCTCATGCTGCTGCCAGGCCCGTAATCTGTCATGGGCCCCTGTACCGCCTCCTCATGCTGCATGCTGCTGCCAGGTCCAGAGTGTGTCATGGGTCCCTGTACGGCCTCCCATTGCTGCTGTCTCCATCGCCACACTCTGCCATGTGCCACTTTCAGGTCTCCTCACACTGCTGGTGGGTTCCATTTTGTCATAGGGTGCTGGCAGATTACGGGCCTCCCATTGCTGCTGCCAGGCCCGTAATCTGCCATGGGCCCCCGTACCGACTCCTCATGCTGCTGCCAGGTCCAGAGTGTGTCATGGGTCCCTGTACGGCCTCCCATTGCTGCTGTCTCCATCGCCACACTCTGCCATGTGCCACTTTCAGGTCTCCTCACACTGCTGGTGGGTTCCATTTTGTCATAGGGTGCTGGCAGATTACGGGCCTCCCATTGCTGCTGCCAGGCCCGTAATCTGCCATGGGCCCCCGTACCGCCTCCTCATGCTGCTGCCAGGTCCAGAATGTGTCATGGGTCCCTGTACGGCCTCCCATTGCTGCTGTCTCCATCGCCACACTCTGCCATGTGCCACTTTCAGGTCTCCTCACACTGCTGGTGGGTTCCATTTTGTCATAGGGTGCTGTTTGGCCTCCCATTGCTGCTGCCAGGCCCGTAATCTGCCATGGGCCCCCGTACCGACTCCTCATTGCTGCTGCCAGGCCCGTAATCTGTCATGGGCCCCTGTACCGCCTCCTCATGCTGCTGCCAGGTCCAGAGTGTGTCATGGGTCCCTGTACGGCCTCCCATTGCTGCTGTCTCCATCGCCACACTCTGCCATGTGCCACTTTCAGGTCTCCTCACACTGCTGGTGGGTTCCATTTTTTCATAGGGTGCTGTATGGCCTCCCATTGCTGCTGCCTCCACCGCCACACTGTGGCTCCACACTCTGGTTTTGGCCCCGTGACTGCCCAAATGAGTGAAGTGTGCGGTGATTCTAAGATCGACGGCACTCATCTGCATGTCATACTGACTGACAGTATTATTTCTCTTCCCCAGCAGACTCCAAGGGCATTTAAATTAAAGGTACAGTGTTCTGCACTAATATAAAGGCTCTCTGAAGCCTAGAAACACCCTTTTTATATGTTAAATTCGCAGCGAATATATTCGACTCGAATTGAATTTATTCCGCGAATTCGCCGAATCAGCCGAATCGAATTTTTGAATAATTCGCTCATCTCTAACCAATTTCTTTATTTTTGTCTCTAAAATCACCAAAAGAACATGTTATGTGCCATCTACCTCCTGCATTGATGGAAGTGATCTTGAAAACAGTCTTTACTGCCATCTGGTGGCAGATTGCTATACTACGCTAAAGACAATCAATGAACAATTTACTAAGTAATATTCTACCAGTTTTTCATTGATGTTGTAATCAACTTTTTAGAAGAAAGAATGTTGAGATCAGTTTGTGGTGTTTTTATTTTAGCATATGCTTAGTGCTTTAAAGTATAGTATAGATAAAGTATTTAGTTTTGGATAGAATGGAGAGGGATTAGTACACCTTTGAGGTTTTTATTGCTGTCTGTGTCCCCATTAGAGAGATTCACTCTCTCTAAGTGTTCTGCTTAACATTCTCATTGAAAGTGAAAATAAAAGAAACATCTTAAATTTTGGGTTGTCCCTGGCACGGTAAGAGATTGGAAATCTTACAATGGGGTCATTAGACCTGGTGATCCTGGTAACAAGCAAGGACTCCCTCACTTTAAACCACTTGCCTAAAGGGCATTTATACCTCCTTCGTGCCCAGGCCAATTTTCAGCTTTCAGTGCTGTCGTACTTTGAATGACAATTGCGGGGTCATGCAACACTGTACCCATATGACAGTTTTATATTTTTTTTCATACAAATAGAGATTTCTTTTGGTGGTATTTAATTGCTGCTGGGTGTTTTATTTTTTGTGCTATAAAACAAAAAAAAGAGCAAAAAATTTGAAAAAAAAAGTTTGTTTCTATTACAAAATTTTGCAAACAGGTAATTATTCTCCTTCACTGATGTGAGTTGATGAGGCTGCACTGATAGGCAGCACTGATAGATGGCACTTATGGGCACTGATAGGCAGCACTGATGAGGTGGCACACATAGGCAGCACTGATGGGCATTGATAGGAAGCACTGATGAGCTGGTTTATGATGCTGCACTGATATGCAATGATGGGCACTGATAGGAGGCACTGATGGGCACTGATAGGTGGCGCTGATGGGCACTGATGGGTGGCACTGACTGGCGGCACTGCTGAGCACTGATGGGTGGCACTGATGATGGGGGGACACTGATGGGGGGCACTGCTGGGCACAGGTGGGTGGCACTGCGGGGCACTTGTGGATTGCACTGCTGGGCAGCACTGGTGGGTGGCACTACTGGGCACTAATCATCAGGGCACTGATGATCGGTGCTGATCTGTCCTCTGACAGTTGCCGGTTATCGGCAGTACTTTCCTCACACTGTGACAGCGTGAGGAAAGTGCAGCCGATAACCGGAAACTGCATTTAAAGGTGATCTGCTGTGTCATTGGACATGGCTGATCATGTGGTAAAAGGCCGCTGTGATTGCCATTTAACACATCACGTGATAAGCTGTGTCCATAGGATACAGCGATCACGGAGATCACCGGGTGCACACCCCCAGGGACGTGTGTTAGGGCGCGTTCTGGGAGGACATCATGACGTCCTCCCAGAACTGGACAACCGTGCTGTAGCCGTGATTCGTCTATAACCCGATTGCCAAGTGGTTAAAGGGATTTCCTCTCACTTCCTGTTTTGGCTATGGGACAATGGGACACCTGAGAGAAAAAAACCTGAGAGGGATTATAACCCTGCATTACAAAATTAGAAAATAAAGGGCCTTTAATTCTATTTTAAATTTAAAAGAGTATTAATAAAAAATCAAGCATTACATCCTAGTCAAATTTACCATTTAGTGAATAACTGATATCTGGCTGAAATATATGTTTTGACATTGTTAATTGCATCCTAGACATGTGTGATTCGGTTTGTTCAGATTTGATTTTTGTGGCCGAAAATTACATTTTTGGAGATTTAAATTAGTATAGTAATGAATCTAGGTATATAACAAGTGCAGCACTCACAAACACAAAACTAAAATGATAAAAATAAATAGTAATGAAAAATAATCCTATGAATCACGAAGATCCTACACCCAATGTCCCTGCTTAGCTTTCAAGATCAGATGAGATCGGGTGCATATGCCTCTATATGAATTCCTGAGTTTAAGCACTTTGTTGATTTCTGTTTATGTTTATTATCATGATAACACAATTTATGTAAAGGATTTTGGTTACACATATTGCTGTTAACAATAAACATTGTGGGTAAGGTCTATGGCCACTCTACCCTAAATGTGCACGAAAATCGTCTGATCTCGGAAGCTAAGCAGGGTCAGGCCTGGTTAGTACTTTTCATTACTCTTTGTTTTTATCATTTTAGTTTGGGTTTTGTGAGTGTTGCACTTGTTATATACCTTTACAGTCATGGCCGAAATTGTTGGCACCCTTGATATTTTTTCCTGAAAAAATCAAGTATTTCACACAAAAAAGGTATTGCATTAACACATGTTTTGCTATACACATGTTTATTCCCTTTGTATGTATTGGAACAAATATAAAACAGAGGCAGAAAAAGCAAATATGACATAATGTCACACAAAACCCCAAAAATGGGCTGGACAAAAGTATTGGCACCCTTAACTTAATATTTGGTTGCACACCCTTTGGAAAACATAACTGAAATCAGTCGCTTCCTATAACCATCAATAAGCTTCTGACACCTCTCACCCGGAATTTTGGACCACTCTTCCTTTGCAAACAGCTCCAGGTCTCTCTTATTGGAAGGACACCTTTTCCCAACAGCAATTTTAAGATCTCTCCACAGGTGTTCAATGGGATTTAGATCTGGGCTCATTGCTGGCCACTTCAGAACTCTCCAGCGCTTCTTTGCCATCCATTTCTGAGTGCTTTTTGACGTATGTTTGGGGTCATTGTCCTGCTGGAAGACCCAGGATCTTGGACGCAAACCCAGCTTTCTGACACTGGGCCCTACAGTGCGACCCAAAATCCTTTGGTAATCCTCAGATTTCATGATGCCTTGCACACAGTCAAGGCACCCAGTGCCAGAGGCAGCAAAACAACCCCAAAACATCATTGAACCTCCACCATATTTTACCGTAGGTACTGTGTTTTGTTCTTTGTAGGCCTCATTCCGTTTTCGGTAAACAGTAGAATGATGTGCTTTCCGAAAAGCTCTATCTTGGTCTCATCTGTCCACAAGACGTTTTCCCAGAAGGCTTTTGGCTTACTCAAGTACATTTTGGCAAACTGTAGTCTTGCTTTTTTATGTCTCTGTGTCAGCAGTGGGGTCCTCCTGGGTCTCCTGCCATAGCGTTTCATTTCATTTAAATGTCGACGGATAGTTCGCGCTGACACTGATGCTCCCTGAGCCTGCAGGACAGCTTGAATGTCTTTGGAACATGTTTGGGGCTGCTTATCCACCATCCGGACTATTCTGCGTTGCAATCTTTCATCAATTTTCCTCATCCGTCCACGACCAGGGAGATTAGCTACAGTGCCATGGGTTGCAAACTTCTTGATAATGTTGCGCACTGTGGACAAAGGCAAATCTAGTTCTCTGGAGATGGACTTGTAACCTTGAGATTGTTGATATTTTGCCACAATTTTGGTTCTCAGGTCCTCAGACAGTTCTCGTCTCCTCTTTCTGTTGTCCATGCTTAGTGTGGCACAGACAGACACACAATGCAAAGGTTAAGTGAACGTCTCTCCTTTTTATCTGCTTTCAGGTGTGATTTCTATATTGCCCACACCTGTTACTTGCCCCAGGTGAGTTTACAGGAGCATCACATGCTTGTAACATTCTTATTTATCCGCAGTTGTGAAAGGGTGCCAATACTTTTGTCCAGCCCATTTTTGGAGGTTTGTGTGACATTATGTCGAATTTGCTTTCTTTCCTCCCTTTTTTTGTTTTGTCCCAATACACACAAAGGGAATAAAACATGTGTATAGCAAAACATGTGTTAATGCAATACGTTTCGTGAGAAATACATGATTTCCTGGAGAAATATCAAGGGTGCCAACAATTTCGGCCATGACTGTATATGTTGTGCTGAGAATCTAGGCGTAGTGTCAGCAGCTAATATATGCATAGATTCACCTCATATTTCACTTCTGTTGTTATAGTAACAAATATGAACGAATCCGAAAAAGTTAGAATGGAAATTTCATTCTGATTCTTTTCGGTCATTCAGATTAATCAAGAAGAGTCACTTGTTAAAAGGTTGGTGGCTGCCGCATTCCTAACAATCATGACTTATCAGCTGTCAGTGGGATTACCCACTGTCAGCAGAATGTAAACAAAAGAAGTGTCAGTTAAAAAAAAAAAAAACAGCCTGGGGACCCCCCCAAGTCCATAGCTGGCCCTAAGGCCTGCCATGGATGTTGAGGGGAACCCCATGCTAAAATTAAAAAAAAAAACTGCATGGGGTCCCCCCCCAAAATCCATACCAGACCCTTAGGTTTGGATTTTTTATTTTTGTTACAGGCACTTCTTTTGTTTACATTCTGCTGACTGTGGAATCCCACTGACAGCAAATGAGTCATGGTTGTTAAGGATGGTGTGGCCGCCTGCTCCTTAAAAACCAGGCTATTCCGAATTAAACAAACTGAATACCAAAGATACAAAACAAATTACAAAAACAAACCATTAATGGATGCATCTGAAATCAATTCTTCAATTAACGAATGCATCCAAAAACGAAAAACAATATTTTTGGCGTGCACATGTCTATTGCATACTACAGATAGCTAAAAATGATCGATAAACTGATTTTTATATGACAAATAGGAGTGTTTTACATGATTTGTACTGTGTGTTATACTTGTAACAAGAATAGACAGAAAAAAGTGAGAATCAGAATTTTTTCTGCCATATTTTGGATGAAAATACTGTGTTCATAAATAATAAAAAGAAGGCAGCTTGGATAAAATTATATGGAAGTGTGAGTTAAAGCAAGATTCACAA